CCAAGGATAGAGAACATGGGTCCCAATAAAACCAATGTGCCTAACCCTAACCCTAACCCTAACCCTAACCAGGGGCGGCGCCAGGGTATTTTCTTAACAAGAGACAAATAGATGGATGGATGGATGATGGATGGAGGATGGATGGATGAGCGGACGCGACGGACACGGGACGGACGGACGGACGAACGGACGGAGGACGGACGGACGGACGAGACGGAAGGACGGATGGATGGATGGATGAATTGACGGACGGGCGCACGGACGGACGTCGGACGGATAGACAGACAGACAGGCAGACAGACAGGACAGCGACAGACACAGACAGACAGGACAGACAGACAGATAGACAGAAAGACAGCAGAAAGACGACAGAGAGAGAGAGAGAGAGAGAGAGAGAGAGAGAGAGACAGAGACAGAGAGAGCGCGCGAGAGAGAGAGAACGAGGCAGAGCGAGAGAGAGGGAGAGAGAGGGGAAGAGAGAGAGATAGAGAGATAGAAAGAGTTAATATAAGGAAAGACCTATCCTATGAGTTCTCGATCCTCTCGTTTACCTTGCTCTCACTGTATCATATTGTTCATTTGGTGGTTTAAAAATTGAACAGCCCGACCGAAAGCACAGTAAGGTTCAGTAGTTTACCATTCTACAGTCTCACAATAGGATTAGCTTTAATTTAATTTGCACAACCCCTTGTAATTTACTAAAAATTAACGCAGCCCTTTCCCGCAGGATTGACTAACAGTTGTAACCCACAATAAGATTAACTGAACACAATATGTCCCCAAGGCAATCAGAAAATTTTGAATAGCACCCGTATAGCATCGTGTACAGTACCCACCCTCCATTTAACCTTTCCGTCTCTTCTGGCCTAATGTGGCCCACATCTCAGCTAACGGGAGGGGGGGGGTGTAGCATTGCGAGCGATTGAATTGATCTTCAAATAAATTATTATATCTCTAAATAACAATATTATTATCCAAATATTCAATATTAAATATCGAAAGGTACCACCAGTCATTTTTCAAATTAAACACATTATTAGGAAAAAAATGCCAACATAAACTTCTCAGGTCACGACTACATATAAAGATATCAAGATGCACGTGAGTTGAGTGCAATAGTATAGGTTTTTACACAACTAGCAGCGATCATATAGAATGTGTTCGCGTAACAAACATTGGCGTTTTATTAGTAAAAACCTAAAAAGCTAACCAGCAAATCATGACGGCAACAAAAACCAGTCCTATATTTTTTATTTGTTATCTCATAACCATAATCGTAAATTATCTTAGATGTTTATGTAATATACAATTAAAAATACACAACTTTGGTATATCTGTAGTACAATAGATACAATAATAGAATGTTTTCTACATCATAACGCATTTTTGTATCTTCATGTATATACGGCTTAGCTATACTGTAATGATGAAGCGAATAATCTTTTTAGATACATTTTTACGTCGAGCGTACACTACGTGTTACTCATTCAGGTTTGAGACAGCCCACATTCAACCTGCGTACAACCCATTTTTAACCTAAATATCAATGAAATATACATATTCGCACAGTACTGCAACGAAGGCTTTAACCATTATATGCACTAATAAGTTAGTTACATGACAAGAACGCAAAGCAAACATATCTCATAACCCATGAATTAACGCGAGAATTAAAATTGGTTTGGCTCGTATGAAGGTATAACCATTGGTAAGGCCTTACATTGGCACTGTATTACACTGGCTGAACGCGCGCCAACCGATTTCAACTTGCGCGAGTGAGCTGAGAACCGTTCCGGAATTTATCCGGATTAAAGTGTCTAGAGTGCTCATACTGCAGCCCGCCCAGATCATATCTGGATAAAGATAGTTATAGATTATTCATATTGAATCCGATCCAGATTATATCCGGATTAAAAAGGTTAGGTTGTTCACGCTGCAGTCGGTCCGGATCATATCCGGAGTACAGAAGCTATATTGTGTTAACACTGCAACCGGCCAACGTTATATTTGAATTAACGTGGCTATTGGGAGTTCGCACTAGAATCGATCCGGTTATAACAGTGACATGAATCACAACTGTGAGCTCTCACGCTCAATTTGCGTTTATAATATATACAAGAATTTACGCCACAGGCACGTCATCAAGGTGGTCACATGACGGCGAATTCTATTTCTAATAAAAAACTGAGCTGTGAATTTTGGACAATATTAAACCTTCCATTCGTGTATTAGCCTATAATAGAGCTTGCCACAAACATATCTTTATATATATGGACGCAGGTCAGAACGATTTGGTATCCTACGAAAAATATTACTCTCCTTTTATAGTTTTATACATTATATTTTGTAAAATCGATTTTTTCATTAAACACACGTACTCCTGCCTTCGCTAGTTGAGGCAGCCTTATCAGTGATTGGTAAGTTAACAAGTTTGGACAACCAGAAATCGATTTCGCGCATTAATTTATAAAATTACGAGACTAGATTGAAGGCGGACAAATACATTCTGTACATTGTGCTCAAACCTCAAACTCACATACACACACACGCATAATTTTTTTTACACGGAACATACAGTATACTACGCTGGTGAAATTTGTTTAAGATCGGTTCGGCAAGTTTATTAAAAGTTGGCATAGCCATATGTCAGTAATACCACACTGAGGGTAAAAGTTCATATTTGACTTTAGATACTAATATGACGAAATAAATAAGTAGGCAAGCTATATAATAAGGTGTCGTAACCGACTACATTGTGTATATGATGGTACATCAAAACTATACTCGTCTTCTACTTCTCGATGTGGCATGGCGTATATATTAGTCAATGCCACCCAATCTGCAAGTTTCCAATCACAGAGATTCCCATGCAGTCAGGTAAAGGCGCGCCACCACACCTATCCATCCAGCGGTTATGTCTGGTCCATTTAAGCAGTCACGTGGTACTCGGCTGCTACACCACGAATCTTAGGAGATGTCGACGGAGAGAATCGAAACGTCGCGTGTATTTTGCGATAATATAGGGCCAACGCGGCCGTCATAGTGACCCGAGCGGCCATCGCCAAACAACGATAGTTCAATATCGATTGATAACACTCGAGGTCTTAATTGCAACATGGCCGAGCGGCCGGTCACTAGAACGGTCAAGGATTCACGGAGTGGTGACGTCATCATCGTCCGTTTGTTTCGGCGAGGGTGAGATGTGTTTGGCGAGATAGGTTGCGTCATATCTCGTCCATCCGGGGAAGGTTCGTGAAGGTGTACGGCGCACAGTCGTCGAAATCTCGGTTTTTCGTCACCTCTCGGCGAAGGGAGCGCCTCACAGTGTGCTGTCTTATCGTAGCTCGTTCTCTGTCCTTTGCTGAAAACTTCCTGCAAATGGATATTTCTACAAACGTAAATAACCGTGATTAAAAAAAGGAATGGCGCTTGACATATTGCTCGATCGCAAGGAAACACGACCGCTAGCATTACTCCGCGAGGAGCTAACGACTCACAAACGTAGTCGTTTGCTTGTTGATGGCTCTCGCCATTCGAACTAACGACACTATGAGATAATGTAAAAAGAAAAAAGAAGACTTGAACGGCGTGTATGAACTGTGCATGCCCATCGAGATGGCTCCGTGCGGGTCTATTCACGGGAGTCATAATGTTTGTTAATCTACGGCTGTAGCGAATGCAGGCGCTATTAAAACAAGGTTAATTTAAATTAAAATGGAAGTGAGAATGTTATCTAATTTAATCACGGTTCATTTCGGATTAAATTATATTAACGATGTCTAAATTATATAATGTGATATTAAGGCGATAATGTTACCGTGATAATATCCTCCTATGCTGTAGTAGTATACACAAGCAAGGTGAGTATGACTATCAGGGTGGATAGGAATATCATTAGATTTTTTTACTAACTCTTTAACTTTTTTTTTACTGTGTCTCTATAAAGTTATTGGTACTCTTCTGTTCATGAACATGTATATAGGAACGTGTAGCTAGAGACCCTAAACGTAATGCGAACGGTTGACTTGTGATGTATCTGGAACATTGCCACTAGCTTTAGCTGTATTTAGTTCGTGTTTGAACGGCTTAAAAAGAAACCTTACGCGGTGACGCCAACTACATAGAAAAGTATTGAAATAATGTCATGGTAGGGTTTTTACCTCATTTAAGGAAAGGGTTAGATTTTGAGGCGTATAATACATTCAATCGATGTACAAATAAACTAAAGTTAAAACGCTAGGTGACGGCTTTGTATTCGATGCATCCCAGATGGCCTCAATGTATGATGTTCCAAATTTTCCAAAAACTTCAGAGAAAACTTTTAAATCATGTAACACTGGGAATTCATTGACCCGTTTCCTTTAAGAGGGGAAGGGAGTGAGGAAGGAAAAGAGAGAAAGGAGAGGAAAATAATTATTGACCTGTTCCCTTTATAAGAGGAAAGGAGTGCATGAGGAAGAGAAGGGAAGGGGAGGAAAATCGCACGCGAACAAGAGACGGGCAGATAGAAAGAGATAGATAGATAGATAGATAGATAGATAGATAGATAGATAGATAGATAGATAGATAGATAGATAGATAGATAGATA